CTGTAGGTGTCAGAGGTGACCTGGGAAGAGGAAGACGACCGAGCCAACCAATCGATGACGGCAGGGTTGTCGGTGGAGACACGACCGCTGGATGACACCGGGAGCACTGGCCTCTGGCTGCGACTAGTGCTGCCTCGACCCCTTCCTCTGCTGCCACGTCTGCTCGCTCCTGAAACATTGCCTCCTCTGCCACTCCTCTGCGTGTTGTCTGACATACTCTTTAATTCAACGATTCTGTGTCCCTGAGTAACAATTCTGTGTCCCTGAGTAACAATTCTGTGTCCCTCAGTAACGATTCTGTGTCCCTCAGTAACAATTCTGTGTCCCTGAGTAACAATTCTGTGTCTGTCCCTGAGTAAGAATTATGTGTCCCTGAGTAACAATTCTGTGTCCCTCAGTAACAATTCTGTGTCCCTGAGTAACAATTCTGTGTCTGTCCCTGAGTAACAATTCTGTGTCCCTGAGTAACAATTCTGTGTCCCTGAGTAACAATTCTGTGTCCCTGAGTAACAATTCTGTGTCTGTCCCTGAGTAAAAATTCTGTGTCCCTGAGTAACAATTCTGTGTCCCTGAGTAAACAATTCTGTGTCCCTGAGTAACAATTCTGTGTCTGTCCCTGAGTAACAATTCTGTGTCCCTCAGTAACAATTCTGTGTCCCTGAGTAACAATTCTGTGTCCCTGAGTAACAATTCTGTGTCTGTCCCTGAGTAACAATTCTGTGTCCCTCAGTAACAATTCTGTGTGTCCCTGAGTAACAATTCTGTGTCCCTCAGTAACAATTCTGTGTCCCTGAGTAACAATTCTGTGTCCCTGAGTAACAATTCTGTGTCCCTCAGTAACAATTCTGTGTCCCTCAGTAACAATTCTGTGTCCCTGAGTAACAATTCTGTGTCCCTGAGTAACAATTCTGTGTCCCTCAGTAACAATTCTGTGTCCCTCAGTAACAATTCTGTGTCTGTCCCTGAGTAACAATTCTGTGTCCCTGAGTAACAATTCTGTGTCCCTGAGTAACAATTCTGTGTCCCTCAGTAACAATTCTGTGTCTGTCCCTGAGTAACAATTCTGTGTCCCTGAGTAACAATTCTGTGTCCCTCAGTAACAATTCTGTGTCCCTCATTAACAATTCTGTGTCCCTCAGTAACAATTCTGTGTCTGTCCCTGAGTAACAATTCTGTGTCCCTGAGTAACAATTCTGTGTCCCTGAGTAACAATTCTGTGTCCCTCAGTAACAATTCTGTGTCTGTCCCTGAGTAACAATTCTGTGTCCCTGAGTAACAATTCTGTGTCCCTGAGTAACGATTCTGTGTCCCTAAGTAACGATTTCTGTGTCCCTAAGTAACGATTCTGTGGCCCTAAAGTCTCTCTGGCCCTAACTCTGTCCCTAATACAGACAGGTCTGTCTCTCTTGAATGACCGCAGGCTAATGGAGAATTGTAAGATGGCCGCAATTTATAGCTCCACCATTACACAGTGCTGGCTGGCTGGCTGCTGATTGGCTAATGCGATCACATGTCATGAATGAATGCATTATGGGTCAGCGCGCCTTGTCTGCGCGCCTTCCCAGAGATCCCCGCTCCGTCGCCACACATGTCGCCGCCATTTTTGGGAAAATTCGATTCGTGCATCCGAAGTTGGCTAATTTTCGGACTCGGCGCAAATCGAATATTTCCCAATATTCGAAACGAATTCCACTTCGCCATGTTCGATTCGCTCATCTCTAATCCTGATCTATGTAGATGATGTAGTGGTGTTTTCTGACACATTTAAGAACCATCTTGTACACTTAGATGCTGTATTTCCAGGCAGCACCAATATTGGCTGAAGCTTAAACTCAAGAAATTCCATCCATTCAAGCATGTGATTGAGTTCTAGGGACATATCATCTCCAGGCAAAGTGTACTCCCCAATCCCGAGAAAGTAAAGGTCATACAGGATTGGAGGCTCCTCAAGCATGTGACGGGTTTCAGGACTTTTTTGCACCTGGCAGGATATTATCGGCATTTCATTAGGCACTAGTATCATCACTCTGCTTTAAATCAAAAGGTCCTATATTGGGTAGGCCAGAAGGGGAGCCATATAAAAGTGGAATGGGGATCAGCATAGAATTTGGCATTTGACTCTTGAAGCAGCAACTGATGTCAGCTTCTGTGCTAGCCTTCATAAGCTCTTCCTTCCATTTTAGCTAAGAGCCAACTACATTACTAAAGGCCTAGGGGTCATATTCTTGGAAATGTGAAAGGTGGCCAAGAGGGGGTTACCGACTATGCCAGATGAATCCTACATGTGACTGAGAGGAACCTTGCAAACTACAGCACCTTCAAGCTGGAGCTATTGGCCTACGTGTGGACAGTCTCCATAGGCTTTACTTATAGCACCAGCATCTGTTCACTTACCATTTGTTTTTTAAGCAACTATTATTTGAATGAGACTTATTGATACATTGGATGTTAGTTGTATTTTCTGGTGGTAATTTATTTATATTTTACACTTCTACATGAGGCAACTGTTTAGTAATTCTGATTCACATTTTGGCAGCGTGGTCTATATGCACATTTATAGAGTTCACGAATGTGGAAGATAGATAGATTTTGAAGATTGCTGCAATCATAATCACATTCATCTGTGTTTCCTTTTTTTTTTGGTTTTGTCAGTGCCGCAGAGTTTTCATTGTTATTTGTTATCATAAACAATTGCCTTCTTTAAAAATAAATTCGTTTTTTTACTCCTTTTTTCCTGTGTATGTACACTCCAGGTATGGCTGCGTGTCATTTTGCAGGGCTGGTTTCCTGCTGATAGCAACAGTGGACCATGTCTGAGCAATGTGTTTTAAAATGCCTACTTATAGTCCTCATCGGAAGCCCCTGTGACAGGGTGAC